GGAGGGCCTTGAGGGAAGATGTCAGCAGGTATGGGTAGTATTTTATGTCTTATCTGAGTGGTGACAGATTTTTCTGCCTATAATATTTAAAGTATATTTTCTTTTCTTTATTATAGCTATGTTGTATTTTTTTTTCCAGTATGAGGGATTGAACCCTAGGCCTTCACACTGAGCTATATCCCCAGTTGTTTTACTTATTTTGAGACAGGATCTTGCTAAGTCACTAAGTAGCCCAGGCTTGGCTCAAACTTGCAATCTTCCTAACTCAGCCTCCAAGAGTGCTAGAATTACAAGTGAGTGCCACCACACTCAGCTGGTATGCCACTTTTTTTTTTTTTTTTTGGTACCGGGGATCAAACTCAGGTCCTTCTGCTTGTGAGGCAGGCGGTGGAACCACTAAGCTAAATCCCCGGCCCTATGCCACTTTTTAATAAAGAAGATTGTTTTTAAAATTTTGTTCCTGTTATATAAACATTTTCTTCTATTTTCTGTATTCATATATATTAGATTTCAATATATGTTTATTTAAAATTATGAATGATTAGAATAATATTTTCTTTTTCACTATGGATTTAGGAAGCACCATCCCTTTGGAATATTTGTTTTAGGGACATGGTGTATACACTTTAGCCTAACAAGTCTGTAGGGAAATCTGAAATGGAGGAGCCAACTGTACCATGGAAGAGGCTGTGACTCATTGCCCCAATTGCTTGCTTGGACTTCCGCATCCCAGACTTGTGTGAGGAAGGCCAGCTCTTTCAGCGTGCAGGTACTGGGGGTGGTAGGGAGAATGTTGTCCCAGGGGAATGAGCAGAATAGGGAAAGTGTGTGTATCCTGGGGTAGATACGGTAGAGTCCTCAAAAGTGGGTAGAGATGTACCAGAGGTACAATAGGAGACATCCAGGGAACGCAGGAAAAAGGCACCAGAAGAGACCATCTAGGCTGGGGTGTCAGAGCACACGCTTACCATGTATGTGTGAGGCCCCTGGTTCCACCTTCTGCACTGAGACACACACATGGGGTGGCAGGGGTCTGGCAAAATCCCCAGTGTGGATCCCTAGGCAAGAGTTTTGTCTTCAGGGTCTAAAGGCTGCATATCATCAGCCTGTCCTACATGCAGTGGCATCAGGCAGAAGAGGAAGCCAGGTGTGGTGGCATATGCCTGTAGTCCCAGCACTCAGGAGGCTGAGGCAGGAGGATGATGAATTCAAAGCCAGCCCAGGGGTATATAGCAAGTTCAAGGCTAGCCTGAGCATCATGGGGGACCCGATCTCAAAAAACAAAACAAAACAAAAAAACTACAGTAGAAGAGGAATAAAGGGAAGGTGGAGCCACTCATACTCACCCCTTGACCAGCTCTGCTGCTGTGGGGACACAGCTGACAGAGGCTCCTGGGATGTTTGAGAGTCTAGGAGAGAACACGCCCTGGAGGGGTAGCTGCCCAGTGGAAAATTCAGGGGAATAAACACTCAAAACTTTTGCTTTTAGCCAGGTACAAAGCCTAAAAGCAGGTACATGACTGTAACCCTAGATTCTCGGGAGGCTGAGGCAGGATTACAAGTTCAAGGCCAACCTAGACAATTTAGTAAGATTGTGTATCAAAGTAAAAAGGAAAAGGGCTGGGGGTGTAGCTCAGTGCACAGCACTCATCTAGTGTGCATGAGGCCCAGGGTTCTATCCCCAGCACCAAACCCCAAACCCAAACAGATTTCTACTTTCTCCTGTATTCATAAAAATGGTTCTGGAAAAGTGAAGTGGTCTGCATCTACAAGGAATATAAACACAAACGCGTACTTCTTTTCCAATCAGAGAATCAAACCTTCTATTGTGAAAAGAGTTGTTCAGGATAGTGCTAAAGGCTGTGGTAACAGGGACCAAATGGCTGAAGACTGAGAGTTTACATGTCATATGTGTCCTTCCTATGTAACTTGAGCCACCTTCTAGTCGCAGAGGTGGGGGTGAGGGCCTTCTCTGAGAGGACTTGACACACTGGGGAGTGCATTTGTGTCAGCTCTGTGTGACACATACTATCACAAGGCTCTGGGGGGAAGGTTAGCCACTGACCCTGCCCACCACCCTCCAGCTGACCAGTTTCACCCTCCTCATGGCCAGCCACTGGGCTGTGGGAAGAGATCCCTCCTCGCCTCCACCTGGAAGCCAGTCACAGTCAACCACATGAGCAGGAGGCCCAGACACAGAGGAAAAGCAACACGGTTTACCAAGAGCCTGGTGAATGAATCATGGTGTGGCTGTTTGTCACCACACCCGAGTCAGAGGCAAAGGAGAAAGACCAGAGCCATTATCTGCTCCTCCCTTGGGAATAGCACATTTCCCACCAAGAATTCCCAGGGATTTTTTTTTTCCTGAGACAGGGTCTCGATGTGTAGTTAGGGTGGCCTTGAACTCACAGCAATCCTCCTGCCTCAGCCTCCTGAGCACTGGGATTACAAATGTGCACCATCATGCCCAGCTCAGAAATGAGTTAAGCACTTCTTCAGGGAAGAGTGTGTGGCAGTTGGCAGGGCAAGGACAGTGGCCCCTTGCATCTCCTTTGTGCCCGTCCTCAGCATGACCACACACAGTCCCACACTGGGGTTTCTTGGCCTGAACACAAATCTGTATTCCAGATCTGTCCTAGCTGCCCAGCCTGGCTGCCCAGGCCCTGCTGCTGCCCAGAGAGGCCCAGGTCCACTCTGGTGGCTGAGAATCTTGTGCTTTCTGCTCTGCTGCTTTCAGAGGAGGAGGAGGACAGGTGGCTCACCTGTCCAGTCTAACCTGCCAGGCACCTGGCCCGTGCTCAGGCCAACTGAAACTCTTCCTCTTTCAGCCTTGGCTAGAGGGGGTGGGGTGGGAGGAAAGGGCAGTCATCTGGCCTGACCTTCACGCCCCTGAAAGCTATTTACAAATACTCAGCTGGCCCTTGAAGGGCCAGCAGCCCAACCACAGCCTGACCTGTGGGAAAGGGAGAGGTGGACCCAAGCTTACCACCTGCCAGCCTCAACACTCCCCATATCATGGTGCCCCCAACCCAGAATGTGGGCTATGAAATTGAGAGAAGACAGATTCTGACTCCTGGGTGGTCAGTCGGTGGCAGGTCTCTGGGACAATGTGCTATGGCCTGGAGGCGGGTGCCATAGCTTCAGGGAAGTACTTTGGTTTTTCCACGTGGTGAAGTGGATTTGCCCTCCCTGTCCACCACCTCTGCCAGAGTCTGGCCTGACAGAAACCCAAACACATGAGGTCACAGGTGGCTGGTGACTTTTCCTCCCTCTCCTGCTCCCCTCCATCTCAGCCTTCCTGGGAGCAGAAGAGGTGCTTGTTTCTTACTCACCTGGGAGGCTGCCCAGCAGGGTTTCATTCTGTGCTCCCTCCACTGTGGGAGCAGTGCTGAAAATGGGAGTGCTGCCAAAGGCAGAGCTGAAAATTGTGCTCCCAGGGCCAGCTCTAATGTCACACCCAAGACTCTGTCAGCTGGAAAACACCTGCCTTATTAAATTGCAGGGGCAACTGAAAAGGAAATATCCTAAATTCCAGGCCTGGGGTTGGGGGCAGCAACAGCTCCTGGACAAGCCCTGACTCAGGCCCCACAGCTTTGTCTATTCTCTCCCAATATGCTGTTCCCTGTGTCTCCTCTGCCCATTAGAACCCAGCTCAGTGCTGGTTCCTTCATCCACCACCTTAGAGAGAGAAACTGTTCTTTTCTTAAAACACCCAAAGTGGTTTATAAATATAAGACTTCTTTTGTATTATCAAAGTGTGCCTTGGAATTGAGTCTTATCCAGCCTTACGCCCCTCAAAGTACCCAGCACATGCCTGGCACAAAGTGAGCTCTCCATAAATCTTTCTGGAAATGAATTGAGCCATGAAGTTGAACAAGGTTAACAACAGGCTGTCAAAAAAGGGAAATGGTACCAAAACCAAGAGTTCTGTTGGGCTTTTCAAGCTATCCATCTCCCCGGGAATCACCATGAGACCCATGCTAAATACGTTGCCCACAATGTAGCTGCCCCATTGCAAACGAGGCATGTCTGTCTGTTTAGGAAGCAGAGGAAAACGAGTCAGGTCCAAGAGTGATGCCAACCCCGGTGGAGAGGCAGCATTACTGGGTGTCCAGGGGAAGTGAGGACTGAGGGTGGGGGCGGCCACTAGTCCTGATGTTTGGTTTGGCAATCCCATTTCCAGTTCCTCCTTTTTTTTCTTTTTTCTTTTTTTTGCTTTTCCTAACTTAGTCTCGGCTTATTTGGTGAGGGCAGGGCAATATGGGTCACTGGCTCACAGATCTCACGGCCCCCACTTACCTTCCTCTTTTCCGGCCCAGTAAGAGCCTCACCTTCCCCAGCACTTGCCTTGCCCAGAGTCACCACCTAAGGGCGGGAACTGGGGGATCTCTTTCACTATCTCTGACATCAGGTGCCAGGCCGCAAACTTCCATGCGCTACTGCTCTTTTACAACCATTCTAGGGATGACTGGTACCTCATTTTATAGATGAAGAAACTGAGACTGAAAGACATTAAGCCTCACAAGGTCACACACCTGCATCTGGGGACGCTGGATCGGAAACTAAGTCTGACTCCCAGGCCAGGGCTTCGGCCAGCTCCCGTCTCACAGCTGGGGTCCCCGGGCAGCGGGGGACCGACCGAGTCCGCAACACCACCTCTGAGGTCAGAATTCCCAAGCGTCCCACCCCGCCCCGCCCCGCCCTGCCCTGCCCTGCCCTGCCCTGCCCCCGTGACCTCCCGCTCCCCCTCCCCCTCCCTGTGCCAGCCCCGCCCACCGCGCCCTAGAGGCGGCCCCGCGCTGGCAGGTGGGAAGGGCAGTGAGGGGCGTGACCAAATTGGGGGCGTGGCCATAAGGGGCGGGCCCAGCGGGACGTGGCCGGAAGCCTTAAAATGACCGGGCGAGGGGCGGGCCATACGGGACGCAGGCTGCGGTGAGCAGCCTCTTAAGAGTCCTCTCCTCTTAAGAGTCCGCGCCGGCTGGGGAGGTGTCGTCGTCACCATGTCGCTGGCAGCCTCTGCAGGCCGGGGCCTGGGGGCTGTGTGGTCCCCAACTCACGTGCAGGTGACTGTGCTACAGGCGCGGGGCCTCCGGGCCAAGGGTCCCGGGGGCACGAGCGACGCGTACGCGGTGATCCAGGTAGGCAAGGAGAAGTACGCCACCTCGGTGTCCGAGCGTAGCCTGGGTGCGCCGGTGTGGCGGGAGGAGGCCACTTTCGAGCTGCCCCCGCTGCTCTCCTCCGAGGCCGTGCCCGCGGCCGCCGCCACTCTGCAGCTCACCGTGCTGCACCGCGCACTGCTCGGCCTCGACAAGTTCCTGGGCCGCGCTGAGGTGGACCTGCGGGAGCTGCACCGGGACCAGGGCCGCAGAAAGACGCAGTGAGTATGGGCGGGGCCAGGGAGGGCACCGGACCCACCCAGCTCCAACCTCACCCCCAGCTCTCCCACTGCCGGGGCTTTTGGGAAAGCAGGGGCGGTTTTGAATCTTCAGGGCGCCTCTCAGCGCTCAGTACTCTCTCAGCACTAAATGAATTTTTGATGAATTGAAACTGTATGTGGGCAGGCGGGTGCTTCTTATTAGAATGGGGTAGTGTGTTTGCTACACGCATTACTTCACGTAGAAAGCTCTTGGGTGTTTCACCGAACGGGACACTTTGAGCTGAGAACCACTGGGCCAGGGCTCAGAGAAGATTAGCTAGATGAGTAAAACTCCCTTGAGATCCCCAGGCCCTAGAAGCTAACCCCGGGACAGAGCTGCGCAAGGGGAATGCCCACTGTCACCCTCACCTCCCTTGGCGCTTGGTGAAAAGAATTTGCTGCTCCAAAAAGAATGCTAGAAAGTTTGGTGTTTGCCCTGGGTCCCAAATTAGGAATCCCAGAGATGGATGGCTCCAGGGTCTGCCCTTGGCTGAGCAGAGCTTGCTTCTCTTTGGAGTTTGGCAAGCTGCTCTGCTAGTCCTATTCCTGGTGGATGGTGGCTCACCTGTTGCTTCCCAGAGAAGGGATGTCTGTGTGGGTAGCTTGCTTCCACAGGGGGAGCTGGGCAAAACTCAGTGCAGCGCAGTGTTGCTGATTTATTGGTTCTCTTTCACAAGTTTTTGTAAAGGGCAGTGCTTAACCCCATGAAACATTTGGGTATGTTTATCTCATATGAAAGGTAGCCTTGGATAGCCTAATTGGTTCTTTTGCTTGACCTTCAGTATGCCAGCAGTTGTGTTAGCACCTAAACCTTCAAGTTCATAAAGCACACTGATTCTCTTTGTGTATTTTAGATATACAGACTATTTGAACTTTTACTTGTGAGGAAGACAGGAAAAGCCAGAGGGGTTGTAGTTACCAAGCTCTTTACTTTAGGGTGGGTTCAGTTTCAGCATGCAAGCTTGGTAGTGTAATATCTGATTCAGTTATCTGGCCAAAGATGAATAGGTATTTCTGAATTCAGATCAGATAAAAAGAGTAGAAAGCCTTGATGTGAAGATGGATGGGGAATCTGATAGCATCAACTTACAAGCCAGAAGGTGAGCTGTGTCTTTGTTAAGGAGGGGCTGAAGCAATGCTAATTTGCCATCTGATTAAGTGACATTTGAAGCCTGGGGTTGTTGGTTGTTGGCTTTTCTTTGTCTTACCCCATCCCAAGATGTGTGGATATTCACTTCTGTCTCTGCCATCTGTGCTGTATCTGAACATTTCATCCCCTTGAAAAATGGATCGAATCTCCCTGCCAGAGATGGGGGTTCCAGAGCACCGAGTCTAGTGTCCACTGTGGTCCTGACTCACCGTTGGGTTACTCTGTCTCTAAATACCTCAGTTTCCCCATTTACAGATGAAGAATATTGATGGATTTAATTAGTGTGTGCAAGGTATTTCTGGGTTCCTGAATGTAAAGATTTCAAAGATTCTATACTGCTGTGTAAGAGGTGAAAAACTCCTGAGCTTCTTTCAAGAGGGGCTCAGTCTCTGCATCTACATTTTTCTGATCTTCTTCAAGGTAATTCTAAACCTACAGGACTGCTCCTTTTTCTATTACATGAGCTGATTACTGCTTAGTCACAGGATTGACTTGCAGGAAAATGATGCTTAGTTAATGGATTTTTGTAAGTGGAGTGGATACCAGTGGGCGAAATCGCAAGCTTTCCATCTATCACTTCCTGGGACTTTCCAAGGTGCTGGGGGAACCCATTTAAACTAAGCCTGTCTAGGGCTGGTGATGTAGCTCAGTGACACATACCTGCCTGGCAAGCACAAGGCCCTGAGTTTGATTCCCAGCACAGAAAATAAATAAATAAACAAACAAACAAACAAAGTCTGTCTGATATTCTGGTGTAGCACCAAGGTGCCCAAGATAGCTGAGATTTGGAGAACAAAATATACACTGAGAGGTGGAAGTTTAACAGAAAGAAACTGGTTGGGCTAGGAAAATTATTTGAACTAGTTATTAATAGTTTGACTCCACCTTAAAGCTAAAATCTTGTTCTATAGATTGTGCTCATGTGGGCACATATGTGTGGGTGGTTTGTCTGTGTCTTAATCTCTAGCAAAGAAGAGTTGCTTTAGTAGAGCATGACTTTGGTCATAGGTTTAGATACAGAAACTAAAGAGCCATTAGTGCATTAAGAGCCAACTATGTGCCAGGTGGGGTTCAGGCCTGTAATCCCAGAACTCTGAGGGTCTGAAGCAAGAGGATCAAAAGTTTGAGCCCAGGCTGGGCAATTTAGTGACTTAACAAGACCCTGTCTCAAGATAAAAAGGGCTTTGAATGGTAGCTCAGTGCAAAGGTCCTGGGTTAGTTCCCCAATATCCCTTCCACACACCAACTGTGGTAATATTTCAATGTATTTTCTTGATAGGCCCCCATCAAATTCATTTGAAGTCATGTGCTTTTTATCATGACTCCAGATTTGCTGAACTCAATTTTAGTATGATGACACATACCTTTAAAATACCAAACAAGCTGACAGATAGGGTACATTTACTAGGGAAGAGTATGTGGCCTTTAGCTAGAAAAAAAATTGAAATAAACTACTCTTGCTCTTATATGTCACTTAAAGCCGTGGGGTCTCAGTGGATCTTGCTTAAGCGGGAATCAGTTAAGTACCATGACCACTGTACAGACAGGAGACTACAATATTCAGTCAAGTGACTGAAATGTAGGAGCCTCTGCCCAGCTCTCTCTCTAGTCTCCTGTAGTTTGGGATCCTAGATGGGTTTTAAAAAAAAATTTTCTGAGGATACTAAGAGCAGCAGAATTTTGGAAAATAATCTCTTATAGACAGCTTTGATCTGGTGACCTGAAGGCTATTGAGTAATTAAATATCATGAAACTTAATATTGTAGAAGTCCTCCAGGTATAGAGAGGGTGTGAGTGTCGAATGGTCATTTTCTTAATCTGTTGAAGACTCAAGAGGGAATTTGGTTGCATGTGAAAGGATTTGGATAGTCTAAAGGATTTTAAGTATAGTAAGTTGCTGAAATAAGTTATCGATGGAAATTTTTGATTTAGTAAAAAGAAATAAATCTTTTTAATAAATGTTTTCTAGGGCTGGGGTTGTAGCTCAGTGGCGTAGCACCTGCCTGGCATATGTGAGGCCCTGAGTTCAATTTCTGGTACCAAAAAAAAAGACCAAAGAAAAAGTTTTCTAAGAGAGTCAGATGAGGAGAAATGACTTAGAGATCTAAAATTTAGAGCTGGGCGTGGTGGCACATGCCTTTAATCTTAGCACTCGGGAGGCAGAGGAAGGAGTATTGAGAGGCTGAGGAAGGAGGGTCGATGCAAGTTTGAGGCCATCCTGAGCTACATAGTGAGTTCAAGGGCAGCCTGAGCTACATAGCAAGACCCTGTCTCAAACAAACAAACAAAAAAAAACCCCTAAAATTTAGAAATGAGAAGCAGTCATGGTTTGTGTTTATACCTTTAGAATTGTTGTACACTTTTAGGCTTTTTGTAACAGGTTGGAAAATTCAAGCAATGTTGTGACCAGTGAAGTTTTTTCTTTCTTGGAATTTCCCGTAAAGAAAACACTGGAAACCCTCCCACCTCTTAGGCATCCACAGCCCCTCCCACCCCTGTGTAGAGGAACAGCTCAGGGCTCAGGACCAAATCAGGCCTGGAATAAACAACCTGCTACCTCACTCTGGCCATGGAACAGAATGACCAAGAGGGGAGAGCACATCACAGTTGCCACCCCATGATGTGGGAGATGTTCCCCTGTGCCTTGCTTTGCAGTTGGTGCTGCTTATGATTCCATTGTGAGGCATTCAGTTAGCAGGGAGGAAATTCCAACTGCTTTTTTTTTTCTTTTTTGTCTCTAAAGTTCATCTGTTCTTTTCATAACTATTTCTTAACACCTACCGGTGCTGGGTATGCAGTGTAAGCAGTGGTAGACAGGACAGGCATGATCTGGCTTTTGGGGAGCGTTGCCTGGCAGGAAGTAGACATTAAACAAATGAACACACATAAATAATTGTGTGTTTCTGGTAAGTACTGTGGAGGAAGGGAACAGGGTATCATAAAAGAAAAGAAGAGGAAGGCATGATTTAAAGGAGCTTTAAAAGCCTGGTGTGGTGGCACATGCCTGTAGTTCCAGCTGCTTGGAAGGCTGAGGCAGGAGGATCATTTGAGGGCAGGAGTTTGAGGCCAGCATGAACAACATAATGAGACCTCATCCCCAAAAAGTGAGAAAGAGAAGTCATGTTGGAGGCAAAAGCCTGAAGAATAAATTCCAGTGAAGAGTGAAGGAAAGGAGTCTGGTGGACGGAAGAGCAACAACCTGTGCTCCTAGGCCCCAAGACAGGCATGCCTGGGAAGCAGGAGGATTGTATAGATGAGACTGAAAAGAAAGGCGTGGCTCTATTTATTTATTTATTTATTTACTCCTTTTTTTTTTTGGTACCAGGATCGAACTCGGGACCTTGCACTTGTGAGGCAGGTAGTGGCACCACTGAGCTAAATCCCCGGCCCAAGGCATGGCTCTATTTAACAAGAATAGGCTTGGAGTAGTGACACAAGCTATAATCTGGCTACTCAGGAGGCTGAAGCAGGAGGATCACAAGTTTAAGGGCAGCCTGGGCAACTTTGTGAGACCCTGTCTCAAAAAGTAAAAAGGGCTGAGGCTGTAGCTCAGTGGTACAAGGCTTGCCTAGCATGGTTGAGGCCTTGCATTCAATACCCATTACTGAAAGAAAAAGAGAATTCAGAAACCACTGAGTATTAAAAGCAAGCAATGGTGTGACCTAATTTGTCAAAGATTGCTGTGGCTGTTGAGTAGAGAATGGATTTGAACCTGGCCTGGGCTGGCATGGCCTGGGGTGGGGGTGGTGCTGTTTCAGGAATCTAAGCCATAGATGGTGGTGGCTTGGAGCAGGGTGAGGCCACAGAGAGG